TTCTCCAGTGAACCTCTAACATGGTTTGCGCAACGAGCCTTCGAATTTGGCGACGAAATTAATGCACTCACCTCAGTAACCACAGATTGCTTCCATGCGACAATCGACTGTTTAAGTCCAACTATGGAATGAAAAGTGAGGTTAGAGAGATGGTTTAGAAAACACGTAGAGAGTCGCTTGACGTCTTCTTACTGTCAAGCCCAGATGGGTTAAATCAATAACAAGCTGCGGCGGGAATGAGATTCACAAGTAGTAACAAAGTCGTGTAAGATGGTTTGAATAAGATGCGTTGTCTGGATATTGTAGCAAGATAGCTGAGGTATAGAACAACAAACAAATTCTTGACTGGAGGCAAAAGAACCTCGAGTTATGCACTGAATCGTATCAACGTAAAACAGCAACGAGCAAACTTACTATTGCAGTTGAAATTGGTAAAAGTCGACTCATTGAGTCAAGCGGCATAGATTGTTTAGTGTGCTACATTTTCAGGAAATCGTCCTCGAATTTTATTTAAGCCCTTTCTTGCCTTCAGTTATGCTATGTCAACACTCGGTTTGAATCGAACTTTCTCGGTTTTCTTAATTATTGCTGGTGGTTATTATTGTAGTGGAACGGCCAAGAACATTACCTTGGGATACAGCAAAAATGAAGTCGGTACAACATATCAAGCCAATTTGGCCACTAGTCCTTGACAAATTTAACAATTATTACTTCTTTCATAGTGTTGCTTCAATGTCGTATGTATAGTGAAGAAGTTGTCCTGCTGCGGTGGATTTCATCGTCATTGCCTTGATGCCAAGTTATGGAAGAGCTGAAGGATTTGAAAGGTTCAGTTTTGTGTTTGTTTTCAGGGAGATGGATATGATTCAAGCGACGCCGTGTCCCAGGCTAGGATGAACTAATGAAATTGTTGTTGCTGAGGCGTTGTGTATGTGACTACTCCTGAAACCGTGGTGGGCCTGTTTGAGCAATTGAATGCTCTGTAGATTGTCAAGGAGTCGAGCTTTGCATAATCACGATAAAAACGCACATTTATCCGCACCAAAAGACCAATCACAAGTCAAGAAATCTCGTCCTCGAATCGCCTCCCTGAGCTTCTCGACCGAATTGATATTCCTTCGCACGTTTGGCAAGAGCAGCTTCTGCGGCTTCCCCAGCTGTGGTGGTCAGGTTCTACGTGAAAAATGTGATCGCAGGTGAAAATATGGATTTTGAGTTGACATTTGTAAACAACGTTGTTCAGAAGAAGATGGATGGTTCCTGCTGTGTTATTCTTGTAATCTAGCGAAAAGATGCTGACTCCGGTTGATCGGGAGAAGGTGAAATATTACCGCTTGTGCATTGTGCAATTTTATTGAGCTGGCAGATGTGGGATTTCCTTGCTATGTTGACGATATCCGAATAAGAGGATGACCTGTGTGCAGATGTAGCCATAAATGATAACGGATGGAGTCTCGGTGGGTTCATCAATCCTGTCTGAGGGGTGCGCTCATGCATTCGAATTTCATTCAGAATCGTGGTGGCGAATTGAATGCGGTCTTTACAAAGACTTGTGGTGGCTAGCCGATGTACAGGTTGGTGCTTTCATACTCTCAGACGTGGTACCAACCCCATACCCATGGTACCCATGGTAACCGACAACATAGGCAGGATAGCTCGGTAGGTCTGGGCGGGGTTCAACCCTGCGACGATTTGCCACTACACCACCTCCACCTACATGTAGCCATATGGGTGATAAGGGCCTCGCTTCGGATGGATTCATATCGTGGACACTCCTCTATGGCGAAGCTGGTATTGGCGGTTATGCCCGATTCTAATCCACATTGATCACCGAGATTTTTTCCGGAAAGGCGACAGATCTTTGATGCTCCATCGCATTCAGTAAAGATAGGAGATACTAGTTCGTAAAATATAAGTGTGAATAGCTGGTGCGCCAGTGTAGAGTCAAGCGAGCAACAAGCAATCATCAACTAACATTCGAACATAAGACGATATTGGCAATTACAGCCATACCTGCCTGCTGTCTTTTATCTGTAAGTTTTTCAGATGGTGACAGGATCGACAGAACGCTAGTGAAGTACAGCCACGACAGCAAGCTCTGTCACTGAGGGAGTTCATTACAATTATAGAATTCACACTTTCACAAGATTTGCTGGATTATGGCAGGGGTATAGATGTCATTATGTCCGAAATTCACGATTCGAAGAAGGCCTTTGATCCATCAAGGCAGAAACGGGGAACATTTGGCAGCAGGGATGTTCCTACTAAACTGATGATGCTTCGTTACCTCTGCATAAAATCCTGCATATCCTAAATTCAATCCTGCTGATCCTGTTGAGGTTTGAAACTTCACAACCAGGATTACGCCATTCTGCAAGCAAGGAAGTGCGAACGGAATTCGGTGTTTGGAGCTAGCTCCGTCAGCGATTGAACATCAGGGACGATGAACACTTCGAGATGACACTTGAATCGAGGCGGGTACTGTATGAATCTCTTGAGACCACAAAAAACACCATCTCTTTCGTCAGCGCAATGGCCAGACGTTTCCACGGAAGTCTGTGCGGAAGAAGTTCTTTGCTTCGTGTTACTTAAACGAGAACGATCCACTGGGCTGCTCTGCCTCGTGACGAAGACGGATGGAGCCGTCTCTGGTGCCGACCAGAGGGAATCGAAGGTTGAGGGAATCAAAGAGGTTGCTCACTGCGCTTGGCTTATATAAAAGTGAAGGGTTCAGCAGCGAAAATATCCGAACAAGGAGCACGATGTGAGCGAGGAAGATGGTGTTTTCTGCATGAAAGATCTTAAAAGGGCTCTAATGTTTTCACCACCTGATGCACCTCGTCTTTCAGGGGTACGGTGCCTGTGCCTAATCTCAGTCTTGCCTTTATTCAGTAGTCTGCACTCTTCGGCTGTCCTTAGGCTTCTTTCTAATCTCAGGGCTACCTCTTTAACTTTTTCGTATGCCTCGTCGCACGTACTGGTCTCCAATGCTTCCGTAAGGCAATAGCCCCCATTCCAACTAGCTAACTGTCTGCAAAGTATGTCAGCTTTCTCAGAAGTCGCTTCAGGGGGCATATCTGGATACGCCCTATTCGCTAGACTTTCTAAAGCGAAACAAA